GTAGAGTTCCCAACAAGCATTACCAATCTGGCAGCCCCCCTGACCGATGTGGACACTGATGCATTCATGCATTTTTGATACGCCTCCTTGATGCTAACGGAGCACGGACGCTTGTACACATTGTGGAATAAAGCACAAAACTCCCTTTTATACTCCTTAATTGACCAATCACTAGAGCAAAATTCAAAGCTTGTTGCCAAGATAAGTAGCGGCTGCATCAAAATATGACCAATGAATTTGAAGCAGAAATCGATTTGTGTTTTATGATCAGCTGTTTGGGATGCAAGAGGACACGAATTGAATAACTAGCTTAGTTCCTAAAACTCAGTTACATTATAAAGGTTGGGCCAATGCGTCCATAAACGAGGATTGTAAATACATAAATTCATATGTTTCGCAATAAATGGTCTCAAGTAGAGTTTCTGTTAAAACGAGTTTTGCACGAATATGCTTCTGAGAATATTCACTCATTTAAGTCTGTTCTGAAAAGTTGAAGGGAATGCATTATAAATTTCTGTAGAGCACTGAGTAAACCCCTTGATCGTGTTAGAGTAAGCAGTTGTTAAAGTTGTTCCTTTGGTCGTGGTAGCTTAAGAAAGAAAATGACCAGAGATGACGGGGACACAACATTTGATTGGATGACCCGACTCAATGAAGTGTCTTCACATAGAGCAGGAAAAACTTGATTTACGGTGGATACTGGTCAGTAGAGCTTGAGTTGAGTGGTAATCAGAAGAAAGGCTGGATGAAATGTGTGACTGCGTTAAACACAACGGTGTAAACTATAAGGGTAAGTTGGGGCGTGAATCAACTGCGATGATAAGCGTAAATAGACACGGTTAGCTGTAATGGCAAGAGGGTGATTTCTGAATTTCTCCTGGTCAGTTTTGGTGCGTGAGGAAATTGGGCATATTTTGCCCTTTGCTGACATAGTAGACGGGCCTTGCACTGGGATTTACGTTCAAGCCGTTCACAGCCACGGTCCTTGTCGGTTTATTCCAAAAATTAACACATCTGACTCACTAGAAGAGCACATTTGTTGTGTTTCCACTCTATCTTCAGCCCTTAATCCGATTATCAACATCTCTACTAGGTCTTGATTTTCCGGGCTATTAGGGAAATAAACCTTTGATGGATTCAAATGTCCTAGACAAATGGCAAAACAAGAAAATTCAAATTATGCAAATTTTTAAGTTTTCGATGGGTTTTTTAAGTGAAGATGAAAAAAAAATATAAGAAATTGGTCTAAACTCATCGATTATTGTCCAAGCTACCAGGGATTTACTAGAGAAATAACCTTTCGGTTTGTTTATTTTTGACATAAAATATGCTTGCCTAAAAAATCTAGAAACCTTAAGATCAATCCTCTGCATGCATCGAATCGCCCAGCGATTATTCAATTCAGATAACACCTGTTTTCAACCATTTAATGCCTCTAAATGTGGCAAACATACTTTTATCATGCATGCAGAGGACATGGTATTGCCCTCTTTTTATTGCCAGAACTGAAAACACTTTATTAACAAATTGGTCCTAAAGACATAAGCCTTTATTTACAATTCATGGTACTTGGCTGTAACCAAAAGGAAGAATAGCTAACCAAATAGACAAATCACAGAGGCCAGGCTTTCCACTAAGAAACTCCACAAGGCTATGTCAGTCATTATTCCCATTTCCTCATGGGCTGCCATTATTAAGTGGTCATTTGGAGTGGGCGCAGCATCACGTACTTTTTCCTCTGCACTAGAATTAAATTAACCTTTAGAGTTTTTCCCAAATTAGGAATTTACGTATCAATGGTTGCCCTGGTTGTTCATGACTTGAATTGTAGCAGTCCCCGATGCGGTTTTGGGAAACCACACCAGGACCGACAATCTACGTTGACACGGCTCAACCGAACGAAGGGCAGAAATGCAGATGGCGCGTAGCTCAACTTATTTATTAAAGCGGTAGCAACGTGTGTGTGTGTAAAGGATAACAAGTGCGTTTATATAGCTTCGCTAAGCCCTGATCCTCGAGCGAGCGAAGTTACATGAAGTGCAATCACGAAAATCGATTGAATCGTCTTCGCACGCGCTTGCTAGCTGCGTTCGCTCACGCTTGCTGCTCGCCACAGTATGAACTTAAGAGCGACCGTTTTGGCGAAGGAACCAAAAGTGAGTGAGGCGGATGAGGTTCTAAAGTTGTTCGAAACATGGTTGAGCTAATGCAGTAAGATGCCTCGTTCATTTGACTCCATATCTGTTGTTCAGCTTAGGCAATCATTTTCCCTTCATTTCCATCACTAACTGTAAACACCTAATAGGTTATGCATCATTGCTTCTCAAAAGTACTCCAGCCTAAGTTGCCTAGAACGGTAACGTCCAAATGCGTATTTTAGACTTATAAAAAACCTTCGCTATCTCGATTCTGGAAACCCAGATGTTTAAGGGAATTTCGCGTCTTGCGTGCCTGATAGAATTTTGTGGTGGCAAAGATAGAGAGGCCGCACAGCTTTGCACCATTAGGATGTCTGACTATACCCAGATGTTATCATGAGGCATCAGTGAAGAAATAGTCGACTGTCATCGGATAAAAATTGACAACATCATAACATTTGTCAGACGCATCTAGTCCTTGGAGGCAAGTTTACTTACTCTAACCCAAGTTATTTTTGCTTCAAGTTAAAAGCCTATTAATAGACTGTCATCTCAACTGTATTTCAAGTGGCTCAAGACAGAATTCGTGAAAAACGTGCTGAAATTCCGACAACTAAAGTCATAAATTGCAAATTTTCTTAAGATTTGGTCGTGAAAATTTGAAGTCAAGCACTTTACAATGGTTACCGATTGCTTGTAAAAAACGACTAATTGGTAAAAACTCGTGGCAATAGAACAATATCCGATCACCATGGATGACTGTTTGAAGTAATGATGAATCGATGAAGCTTCGACTGTAAACGTAAGCGACTTTCGGTTCATATTCTTCATCTTCTTGTACGCCACCCATCCGAGTCGAAGGAATTAGATTTAGTCTGCCGTGGTTTTCATAATTATGCTTACACTCAAAAATCAGTCAGACGCCACTAGGATTAAATTTGCGAACACTTGTATTGTTGCACATGTGAGACTTCAACAGGGTAAATTCTGGCATTAAGTCGACTTCCTATTATCTTCGAGTCTTAAAATAAAAAAAGATTGGTTAGGACAGACTGCTCGCAAACCTGTTCATTGTTTTAATCGTGTCACGCGATAGCCGATAAATCCATTTGGATGGCCGCATGGTTTGTGTAGGAATAAACCCGATGTCGACGGTTGCCGGTGCGCATAAAAAACACTGTTAAAATGGAAATTTAACTTGTAAAAATGAAGTAACTACAATTTTACATTAGCCACTCTAGTGCTTGGTTCTGAAACAAACTGCATCACTCATGGGATCAAACCTTTGAATTTACCGACTTTGAGCCAAGCGTATCGTTTATGACCACAAAAATTTGCGTTTTTGAGCCCGTGTACATTAGTGTCGATTATTATTTGTCCTTTGGTAAAAGTATTTCAGAATAAGTTAAGGTTAAGGTTATTATATGGTTTCATTTAAAATAAAAACGCAGATTATTGAATCACAGCATGTTTCCTCGAAGGTTAAAAAGAGCATGACCTAACTGACTCTATCTTTTGATAAAAAGGGGCGTTTCAAAAGCAATTTAAATAAAAAGTAAGAAATCAAGTGTTGCCTCTTGATATTCTGATTGTTTAAAGTAATAGAAACTTACAATTTTAGTAAAAGGAGTGCAAATTTTTTGGCAGGCAACCAATAGAAAACAATGAAAAATATATTTGTGTCTTAATAAATATCCCGATTCTGAAAAAAAATCGCTCTTATGTTTGAAAAGCGTTTGTGTTTCTTTTGACCTAACTATTTTTTTTAGAATTTCGCACACGAAGCTGCACGTTAAAAATAAGTGAAAATAATTGGGTTGATACGAGCCAGAATCCAAATGGTATTAAAGATGATTATGTTATACAAGTACAGCAATCAAGAAGCGTAACAATAAAAAATGAGAATTTTTTCGTAGTTGAATACACTAAGTTAAGTCAACAGCTAACAGAAGACTTTTGCATTTGACAGTATACTATAGGGAGCTGAATGATGAATCAAAGTATTCTGTTTATTACCCTTCAAAAGTCTCCGTGTCTGCTGTCCATGACATGTTAGATTGTAATGCACCATGCTACAACAAACTGGCTATCTTGACGTGATCTCATTGTTCTTTTCAAGGTATCACCAAAAGCCATTAAAATCGATTTTAACAGGTTTCAGTTTAAAATAGGAATTAGGGTAAGAGTATGACTCAGATAAATCAGTGATAAATTATTTATATTAACATACAATCAAGGCAGTCAACAAGGGTGTGAAAGTTGTAGCCTACCCATTAAGGCTGGTCGACGCAATGCCTTGATGGCAAATGTATAAGACGTTTTTGGGTTTGAGAGTGTTTTAGCAACTATTTAGTAGGTCTACCTTCAAAAAGGCCGGGAATGCCATCAGCTGTTAATCTTTTTGCAGACACTAGTAGTTACATTTTATAGCATTGAGAAAATGAAAAATAGGTTTGCATAACTGCGCAGTCACAATTAAAGATAAAAGTTACCATAGGCTTAGTTTATTTTAAAGTCAAGTTATGTGCAGATAAATATGTTATACTTCTTAAAATTGGTGATAAATAGGATACTTGTGGCATAAACTCTTTCCATTGAGGCAACTACAATTTTATAGGTCAATTTGTTTATATGCTTCAACTTGTGCCAATCAGCTGATCGGTGTCTTTCTGTCCTGTCATCGCGTTGTCTGAATTTTGGAGATTTTTAAGACCCCCGGCGATAATTTTAAAGTATTTAGTGAATATACTGCGTTTAAAATAATATACAGATTACAGTCTTTCTTTTTGGTATCGAAGCGCCATGTCTTGTGTGCACGTGGAAAGTTTTCTTGCAACAAGAACGAATTCAGCGGCCTTAGAAGCAATTCTGCATTATGTGGTATTTCCTACTTCTGAAAAGGCGATAAAATACAAGGTGATTATTGTGTTTGTCAGAATTTGTCAGCTCTTGTCGGGTTAATAATTATGGGGATATTCAGTTTCGGCGACACTCATGTTGTCATGAATGTCCCATTTCGTGCAGTGGAATAATTGATTGAAATCTATAATTTGACACACTTAATCTTGACCTACACTTTAAACTATTTATTCTATGTGTTAGTTGTGTTCTTAGTGTTATTTTAATTCTTTTGTGGTCCATTAACATGCTTCTTTCGCCTATAGTTGTCGCCTTTTCAAAAGGCAAACTGTAACTTTCATTTATTTTCGGTTAGGCCTCTTTGTCGTGTTCCTTCTGTTATGACTGTCCACTTAGTTCGCACAGGACTGTGCCTACTGCTTTGCTGGCATGTGCACACTGCATTCATTTTTCCTGTTGGACCAATTTGCATATTGAACGTCATGTTACATCCAACCCAGATCACCACATCTGTGAGTTTCCCCGGTATAACGTACTGCCTTTTTTAACAAAATGTTTGGATCACTTTTTTTACTTTTAGCCGTATGCCTTGAACAAGGTGAGCTTTATTGCTCAATCTGCAGGGACTTCGTTTATAGTGAGCGCACTGAGTCAGCGTACCAGCACGCTATCGGCCTGTATATGGATAAATTTGGTAAGCTATTGATTTTTTCGTCTCTGATAATACATAAATTCGTTGCTTGTGAACAAACACTTAACTCTGTAGGCCGCTCCGAGCGTCCCTGGCGTCCATCATATAAGGAACTTGAATTTGTTCCGCATTTACAACCCGTTAGTTTACCCGCGTCTGCTCCACGTTTGCGGCGTAAGTGTCACGAACTTGTAGCAGCCATTATTTTTTATTCTAGTCTTTCGTGATTTTCTTATTTTTAGGAACTAGAGGCCTCGTGAATATGGGCAACACTTGCTTTCTCAATGTTGTTGTACAGGCACTTACACACACCCCTGTTTTGCGTGATTTTTTACTCTCTGACCTACATCGATGTGATAATCCAACGCGTTCCCGAAATTGCTTGGCTTGTGAAATGATCCGAATTACACAAGAGGTGTGTGTTTTTTCAGTGATTCTAAATGTTAGAAAAATTCCTAAGCCGGAGAGAATCGAATGAATTCGTTCAAAAGCTTACGTAAAGGTTACCAGGTGAACCTGATAACCAGCTAATCAGGCGAGCCATTTCCGGTTATCGTTGGGTCGTAACCTCTCTTCGCGATCGCCTTTCTTAGAGTTGCCGAGCGTCTAGTTCGAGATTACTTGTCGTACTTTGATAGCTGTTTTAATCTAAGCTTTTTTAAATATTTGAATATTGGTGCATTTGTCGTTGTACGAATGGATTTGTTCGAGATCACAAGTGTTTTCCTACAAAATTTTCTTTGTGCGAAGCGTGCTTTGCAGTCTTTACCGCAATTACTCATTTTAATCCTTCTTTTAGATATATCGACCTGTGTTGAGTCCCTACGTCCCGAGTAACCTCCTTCACTCCATCTGGCTCCATGCTAGTCATCTCGCAGGATATGAACAACGGGACGCACACGAATTCCTAATCACTCTTCTCACTCTCATCCATTCCCATTTGGTCGGAGAACAGATACCTAGAGAAGGTTTCGCGTCAATTTTCATATGCTCATTTACCTGAACTGTAACTAGCTTTACACCAATGCCGTTATTTTTGCATCCACAATTCATGGGCAGTTTAATGCTACGCATCGGGAAGCTGAAAAATATCACAATAAGCAACTTTAAATGTTTCTGTTTTTGTCATTAATAGTGGCCTGCGTCGTCAGTGGCGTCGTACATAATTATGGTTCGGGCACTGATCCACTCGCGTATTATTACGCCCCTAGCTCTGTTAATGTATATTCGTCTCTACTTAGTCAATTTAAGTATAAGTACTGACTTCGTTTGTAGATGATGTGGAAGAATCTTCACAGCACCGTCGTCGTTCCTCGATGAAACGTCGGTGGTGTGACAATGATAAGGCGTTGCTATCTGGTAATGGAGGTAGCAGAAGTGCTTCCCCTGCCTCTACGTCTTCTCAGCATGATAAAAAATGCAAATTCTCACCCTCTTCGGCCGCTTCAAGCACTACTGGTGAGATGGATGAGCGTAGTGCACCCCCCTCCCCCGCCTCTACCTCCTCTGGTCGGACTGAAATAATCAATAATGGTGCCGGTAGAGACACTTCGGGGTCCACCACCGCAGCCACAGATGCAAACTGCGATTGTATCGTGCATCAGGTTTGTGCCTCTATCGTTCAGCCCCAATTTCGCATGCAGTTCATTTCGAGGGCACCTTATCTTTCATCCATTCAACTCGCCATTACTTCCACCATGAGCATGATGGAAATTGGTAAGGTTATTGTTTGGGTGCTGGCGTTGATGGGGGCTGAACTACAGGTCGGATGTTTCTGTGTCCATACGACGTTAACGTCATAAATCGTTTGCTGGTGAAACTTTTGTGGTGCCTTTGCGATAAAACACCAAGAAACTGAAGTGGGTGTTGTTTAGTGCACGTCGCTAGCCACAACCACCGATCGCCACGAGCCTAAAACCGTTCCCTGCTTACCCTCCGATTTTCCAGTAGTTGTCTACCGCCGAGTATAACTGACGATCCTGACACTGTACTCTGCAGTATTCCAACAATGATGAGTATTCCATTCCGTCTTCGGTTTCTTAATCCCTCTGTGGAAATGGCGCAACCATAGTCAGCGCTTCTTTCGAGCCCGCAGCTTTCAACACGGTCGGATATGACGTCTTTTCCACGATTAATTTTGGCATCCAAGTGTTTTTTTATGCTAGCATTTAAATTCTTCCCTTGGTGGTTGTTTTCCACTTTCAACCACCATCCTTCTTGATCTGCTGCGCCTTTTGTGCTGCCGAGAAACTCGAACACCTGTTTTTTGCCTTTGAATTGGCCAAAATCCTTTTGGCGTGGCTTCATAAGCCAATGCGGTAGCCCGTGTGGTTGCTTCTGTTTGTTTGGTCGTATAAAAAAGGCACTTCTTGGCGCGATATATTTGGGTGAAACAACTCTTTTGCGCGCTTGTATTCGGCCACGTCCTTTTTCAATATATAATCAAGCTCCCATCGCCTTTGTTGGCGTAATTTCAAGCCTTCTACATAAACATAAACAAGTTAGTGTGTTGCCATTTCAAGGCGTGTATCTGAATGCAGATCGCTATAGAGGTGTTGTAGAATTGCATCTTGTGGGTAAATCCACTAATGTATCAATAAGGAAGTTTTGGAAATTGACTTTACCTTTGTGACGTCCGTATTTTTTTACTCTGAGAACATACTGGTCAGTCACACGTTTTGTTTTCTTATTGACGCCATTTTGCGTTCCTCAATTAGGTGTTCTTCGGTGACCTCGAGTCAGTCATCTCGTACCAGGGCTGCGACCACCGGTCGTCGACAGTTGACCCCTTTCTTGACCTTTCTCTGGACGTCGCTCAGAGGGGCTCCACGTCCCTGGCTGCTTGCCTTTCCTCCTACTTCCGCCCCGAGGCGATCGACGGTCTGCTGTTCTGCTCCCAGTGCAAGGTTGGCCGTCCAGCAGTCAAACAGTTTTCCCTCCTCCACCTTCCCAACGTGCTTTGCTTCTACCTGAAGGTGGGGACTGGCTTCTTAAAGTCCGCTACTTTATTTGTATCAGTAAAGTGTTTGAGTTAGGCTTCGTAGTAGATGGGAATCGAATGCATTATCTTTGGTGTTCACATGCGCCGCCGCATTTATTTATTTCAGCGGTGTCACCACGATACGAAGATCAACACTTCAATCAGCTTTCCTGTGGAATTGGACCTAACGCCTTTTGTTGCTCAACTTTCCGGTAGTCATTCGTCTTGGCATGACAGGTGGATCCACGTTGTGTTATTTGTATCCGCATTCATCTACAAAGGCTCGCTAATCTTGCTCGCATCTCGTTTTTGCAGGTATTCTCTTTACGCCGTGCTCAACCACAGTGGTCAGACTAACTCGGGCCACTACACTGCCTACATCCGGTCGGGGCCGGGATGCTGGTGTCTCTGTGATGACCAAAAAATTGTGCCCGTGACGCTAGACCACGTCCTGACAACCGATGCGTACGTTTTGCTTTACCACAAGAACCTCTTGGCTTTCCGCTCCGCCTCACCACCGCCCTCCTCCGCGTCCTGACCCCAGAGACCCCCTTCCCTCCGGCCCCAGTGCTCTAAGTGTGCAATAACTCTCGCGTCCCGTCGACCCTACACCCTGCCATTTATGCATCATGATGAACGCTGCGCATTTACCTCGTGAAACTAGTGACAGTAAAGAAAACTGACGATAAGTATTTTCGGTCTTGTGCCAATGTCTTCCCCTTGTTTTTTTTACGTGGAAATGCCTCATCCACTGTTGTCGTCTCTTTTCTCTTCGCGCCCTTCCCTTGTACCCTGTTGTACTTTCGCTTACTCTACCACCCCTGAGCATTCTATCTCTCTCGTCTCCTTCCTCTCTTGACACACAAAGCTGCTTGCGCCCAATTGGTCTCCTTTTCATGTCATTCCGAAACCTAGACGCCAACGTCCCACTTACCCTCTCTTGTCATCTGCTTATTTGCGTAGATGCGTCTTACTTCCATCCATTCATGATAGTCACAACTGTACGTAGGTTCTTTCGAGTCCTCATTTTGTATTAATTTGAGGAACACAAAAAAATGTGCCTGATGATCAAGTAAAGTTTTTGTGAACGTGTTTCTTTATCCTCCCGAAGATTGGTCGACCCTTGTATCAATCATTTACGACAAGGAAACTAACGACAGCAAACAGTTAGTTCAAACAGGGGGTTATGCAGACCTTCGTATCGGAGCCAAATCTGACACAGGGTTCCTGATCAGGACTAATCTAATACCCCAGCGCCGAGTAAAAACCATTTTCTTATGTATCAGTCAACTCCTATGAACTAATTGCAGCTATGGCCTGTTGTGAGGCAATTCCTAAGTATCTGATTTTAATATCTAGGTTTTTAGTACGCTGTCCTTCGTGATTGTTTGGGGAAACATTTCCATTACGAGTGTAATCCAACAGGCCGTCGGTCTTTAATTGTGCTGTTAGAAGAACGACGAAACATTTGTGCGCTGTACTTTTAAAACTGAAAATGTCCTAGTTTGTTCTGTTGATAAGAAAAACCTTTAATTTGGGGTCTTGTTTCCGTGAATTGAAAAGGCGGTTGTAGTACTTAAACGCCCCATAGCCGCAGTCGTTCAATTGTCCCTGTAAATATGCACGATTTACTAAATTTCATGACATGTTTATCAGTATGGAAACATCGATTTCAAACCACACTATGTGGTCCATACTCCGTAATCCAAATCGCCTCAATGCAGATCAAATCTTCACGCTTGATAATCGACAAAATGCGTGATCAACAGACAAGGGATTGGTTTGGCAACGGAAAATTAAATTCAGGAAAGCTCGAGCTTGTTGCCGGCTGGTCGTCAGCATTCGAATTGGTAGGTAAACTGCAAATATTTTGCAGAGCTTATTTCATCTGTTAGCTTAAAATAAGACTAATTCCTTGGTCTCTCCTTGATTGTTATATACAGGTCGCTGATCAATTATCCAAAGATACCAGTGCGTAATAGGTCTTCGTTATTTTGTAGAACTAAATCGCGAAGCTAGCCCTAACTGCGAAGCATCTTCCTGCGATACAGAAACAGATTTATCCTCAGTTCTTTTCTTTTTTGCACTAAGTAACATTTAAGATCCTTTGTAATCGCATTACTAGGCCATAAATATTTTTGCTGGCTAATTTTTGTTCTATCGACATTTTATCGTAAATAGTCAAGTCAGCTGTTTATAGAAAGTTGCCAATATCGGTGGTCGATAAAAAAAATTTGAAATTCCATATTCTTCACCAGAGTCGTCTTTTGAGTACACGAGCCAATCCTCTACCTTGATAATTGCAATATGGCAAGTATTTGATTTTCTAAGCAAATTATTTGCAGTTTTCTTGGGTGTTGGTTCGCTTTAATTGAGATGTCGTTTTATCCTTTCAGCGGGAGGTCATAAGCATTCACATCGGACAAGGGGGTGTACAAATGGGTAATGCATGCTGGGAACTGTACTGTCTTGAGCATGGCATTCAACCAGATGGCCACGTGCCGAGTGACAAAGTGCTTGGACAGTGTGACGACTCCTTCAGCACGTTCTTCAACGAGACTGGGGCCGGAAAACACGTACCGCGGGCTGTCATGGTGGACTTGGAACCAAGCGTCGTTGGTTCGTCCTGTTTTTGTACTCGTCATCGCCAAGTTTATAAATATGCGGTTTATTGAAGGCACCTTTTTCATCCAATTTAACTGAACGAAGCACACGCAACCATGATCAGAGAAGCCCAATGTTGAAAAGTTATTTATAAATAGTAATTTACGCTTACTTGTTTTAGATGAAATCCGGACTGGTACCTACCGCCAACTTTTCCATCCTAATGAGTTAGTAACTGGAAAGGAAGATGCGGCTAACAATTATGCTCGTGGACATTACACAATAGGAAAGGAGATGGTTGAGGCTATTTTGGAAAGACTTCGAAAATTAGCTGATTGCTGTAGCGGCCTTCAGGGATTCCTAATTTTCCACTCATTTGGAGGGGGAACTGGCTCTGGATTTACTTCACTGCTCATGGAACGGATCAGTGTCGAGTACGGCAAGAAATCCAAGCTTGAATTTGCTATCTATCCAGCACCTCAAGTATCAACGGCTGTGGTAGAGCCATATAACTGTATCCTGTGTACTCATGCTACTCTGGAGCATTCCGATTGTGCGTTTATGGTTGACAATGAGGCGATATATGATGTCTGCAGGTAAATTTGTAATTTGGGCACATTTGCTGTTGTTAAAGATGAGCTTGTTTGCACGGTTATTTTACTCCTAAAGGCGAAACCTGGATATTGAGCGACCCACGTACACCAACCTAAATCGCCTCGTCGCCCAAATGGTCAGCTCAATCACCGCATCGCTGAGGTTCGACGGCGCACTCAATGTTGACTTGACGGAGTTTCAAACTAACCTCGTTCCCTACCCCCGCATTCACTTCCCTCTAGCCTCATACGCCCCCACGGTATCTGCAGAAAAGGCCTACCACGAGCAGCTGACTGTCATTGAGATTACCAATGCCTGTTTTGACCCAGCTAATCAAATGGTCAAATGTGACCCACGTCATGGAAAGTATATGGCTTGCTGCATGCTGTACCGAGGGGATGTTGTTCCCAAAGACGTAAATGCTGCAATCGCCACAATCAAGTCAAAGAGAGCCATTCAGTTTGTTGACTGGTGCCCCACAGGCTTCAAGGTCGGCATCAATTACCAGCCACCGACTGTGGTGCCCGGAGGCGATCTAGCAAAAGTTCAAAGAGCAGTCTGCATGATGAGCAATACAACTGCCATCGCGGAGGCCTGGGCTCGGCTTGATCACAAATTTGATCTCATGTACGCGAAACGTGCCTTCGTTCACTGGTATGTTGGCGAGGGAATGGAGGAAGGCGAATTCTGTGAGGCCCGTGAAGACACAGCCGCGCTGGAGAGGGACTATGAAGAAGTCGGAACTGACACCATGGAAGCCGAAGGGGAGGATGATGATGAATACTAAATACGTCGATAAAATCTTTTCCTGTTCTTCGTTGAGTCGCATAGTGTTATTCCATAATTTGTAAAGTTCAGGGGCGTTTTGTTTATATTAATCTTTTGACACATTTTAGTACAAAACACTTTATACATTGCGCTTATTTGCGATTGTTTAAATGCTTTCCAAAATACACCTTTCCAATAAGAAGTGATTTTCGTTGTCTTCTGGGTGGTGAATTCGTGGTATCTGTTTAAATCGACCTTAGAATCCTCTGTGGTCCTGTACTAATAGTACTTGAAGACGATTCAAATAAAGCATTATATGTTTATATTTGCTTTAACCTGAGTGGGCTCAAACGTGTTTTGGTAGTTGAATCACTTTGCTGTCAAAAAGGCCTGTTCACATGCTCACTTTGCATAGGTAAAACATGTATGGGGTTCCCGTTAAATACCAACAATAGTAGATTTTTTGGCGGATATAGAGTGTGCTGTGAAAAAGGATGGAAAATCTAATTTCTTGCACTGAACTTGTGCAGCTTTTGATTGTAGAACAACTTGGTGATACAGTGTTCCTTTCTTCCTGCCGACAACATGCAGCTTGGCTCCAAGTTTTCCTGTTGACGTGATCTGAGGTATACTGTTTATAAATAACTCACGAGGAAACGTTTGTCACCACACTAGATGTAGTACACTTAAGAAGAGTGTTGGCCACGTTTCTGAATGCAGCAAAAGTTTTTGATTCTTGCGGTCAGTTCTGCTTGTATATTTCCACATGAACTGAAAATTCCATCTCACCAAAGTGAGATACTAAACTTGCTCCTGTCTGGATGGCAACAAACTTTTCTAATAAGACATTGTCCTTACCAAAATGTGTTGGGAATTGAAAGGCACAAATGCAAGCAATGAAGGTGGTTGGCAATCCACAAAATTGGCGTTTTTTAGTCTTTTCGTTAACGGTTTAGACCGGGCCATCTTTGGTTATCTTTTAAGAGTGAACTTTAAAATGGCAGTTCACGAAAAAATTAGCTCGACGTAAGGTGAGTTTTACCAAACTTTATAAACAGCTACGAGATTCATTCTGTAAAGTTTTTTTAACAAGTCGACATTGGATATGTAACTACACCGACTGTTGGTCATATCCGCGTAAACTATCGGTTGTGAACTATATTGTGAGTTAATTTGAGGAAGCAGGAAACTCCTCTGAGTTATTAGGCTTAAATTACCCTTTCACTAAATGTAGAAAAATTTACATTAGAGCATTTATCTTGCTTTACGTTTATACATTGCACGACTTTGACGTCTGAGATTAGACTTAAGCCAGAGAACAGATAATATAAACAAAGGTGACTTATGTTTATTATTAACCTTAGGCTTAACTTGTGACCATGTGACATCTAACCTCAACCCCCCTCCCCTCTAAGTCTGATCCTCAAATTTGTTCCGTCTCTTTTGGCCATGACAGTATGAATTTTTTATTACCTCGAGTTTACATCTTGCTTTAAATTTCATCTGTAATGGCCATCATTTTCTTACCAATCATCTTGCTTCATGCTTTCACCGGGAGTGACATTTTTTGATTACTATCAACATTTCTTAGGCAATACTGAAAGTTAATTCTTCGCGTGGAATTAAGGGTTTATTTTTGACAGAGGTCAACAATTAAAACCATTATTAGTAAATTCATTTTATTTTTAAATCATTAGCTAGGACCTAAAAAGTTTCCTGTAAAAATTGTTGACTATTTCTCCACTCGAATTCTTACTGTTTATGTTTTCAAACTTGGTGAATCATTCAATATTCAGTTGACTAAATTTTAAATGTGAATTGATTTATGCTTGCGTTTTGATTATCGAATTTTTAAATTTTGCTTAAAAACGGCCGAATTTTTGTTTATACACCATTCCCTAATCGAACTCTGTCGCAGACATGGTAAGAAAGCTTGCTTAAAAATAAATTCGGCGTGTGCATAACTCGACGGAAACATATATGACTTTATCTTATTTCTACTTTTAGCGTGAAATTATCAGCATCCATATCGGTCAAGGCGGTGTGCAAATGGGTAATGCCTGTTGGGAGCTTTACTGTTTGGAGCATGGCATTCAGCCTGATGGCCAGATGCCAAGTGAAATGAACCTCGGAGGAGGCGATGACTCTTTTCAAACTTTTTTCAGTGAGACCGGAGCGGGAAAGCATGTTCCACGAGCAGTTTTGGTTGACCTTGAACCAACTGTAGTCGGTAAATCTAATTGGTTGCCATTTACTTTTTGTAATTTAGATGAGGTAAGAACAGGAACCTATCGCCAGCTCTTCCACCCAGACCAATTGGTTACTGGGAAGGAAGACGCTGCGAATAACTATGCTAGAGGCCATTATACAGTTGGGAAGGAAATGGTCGACATCATTCTCGATCGCGTTAGGAAGATGGCAGATTGCTGCACTGGCATGCAAGGGTTCCTGGTCTTCCACTCTTTTGGTGGTGGTTCAGGCTCTGGCTTTACATCTCTTCTTATGGAACGACTCTCCGTCGATTATGGAAAGAAATCAAAGCTTGAATTTGCTATCTACCCAGCTCCACAGATTGCCACAGCCGTTGTAGAGCCATACAACGCAATTTTATGCACGCACACGACTCTTGAACATTCTGACTGCTGTTTTATGGTCGATAACGAAGCCATCTACGACATTTGCAGGTAGGATTTTAATCATTTTTCATAAATAATTTTACGACTACACTTAATGCTGCTTTACCTACTTTAGACGCAACTTGGACATTGAAAGACCCACATACACCAACCTCAATCGCCTTATAGCCCAAATCGTCAGTTCAATTACCGCATCCCTTCGATTCGATGGGGCTCTAAACGTTGATTTAACTGAGTTTCAAACAAATTTGGTCCCTTATCCTCGTATTCATTTCCCTCTGGCTACATATGCACCAACGGTCTCTGCAGAAAAGGCCTACCACGAACAACTCAGCGTACCTGAACTCACAAATGCCTGCTTTGAGCCGGCCAATCAGTTGGTCAAGTGTGACCCTCGACATGGCAAGTACATGGCTTGCTGCATGCTGTATCGTGGGGACGTGATCCCAAAGGATGTCAATGCATCAATAGCTTGCATTAAGACGAAGAGGACCATCCAGTTTGTTGACTGGTGCCCAACCGGGTTCAAAGTCGGCATCAATTACCAACCGCCCACGGTGGTTCCAGGTGGTGATCTTGCAAAGGTCCAGCGGGCCCTTTGCATGATCTCCAATACAACGGCCATAGCTGAAGCTTGGGCCCGATTGGACCACAAATTTGACCTAATGTACGCTAAGAGGGCATTCATTCATTGGTACGTAGGTGAAGGTATGGAGGAAGGAGAATTTTGTGAGGCTAGAGAAGATACGGCAGCTCTTGAAAAGGATTACGAAGAAGTCGGGCAAGAAACAATGGAAGGTGAAGGAGAGGCTGAGGATGATGAATACTAGGAAGGAAAGTGAAAATTAGATTGTACAGACGTCTAATATTGAATCATCGAAACGTTACCGTGCAATTCGCGGTCAGTCCCCGCTAAACATGATTCCTGCGAACAAGAGGATACTTTGCACAGAATTTATACACCGCAAAATTTTCACAATAAAACCAATCGTACGCAAATTTCATCCTCTATTTTTAGTTTCCCAAGAGGTACAGGTAAAACGTATCATACCCAGAACGAAAATTTGGCAACCTTGATAACTAAAGTGGTGAGGGACAAAGATAAGTCATTTTGCGCTTTTTGACGACTCTACTAGCAAAAAACCATTATCTCGAATGCAATCAACTCGACGGTTTATCAAATATGAAAAATTTAAGAGGGATTTTATTGAAAAGTAGACAGATTTTCACCATAATAATGGGGACATGGTTGATGAAGTATTAAGGCAAAGTTACAAAACGAAATATCATTGTTGCTTTAGAACCGTTGATTCAAAATGGCGCAGGAACACGGTTTTCTCATTACCTTAATGTATTCCTATGGCAAATTTTAATTTCTAAACTAGTCATGTTTACACAAAACTAAGAGCGTCACGGACACACTGATTTCTGCTTGATGCGTCACTTATATTTAGTGGATAGCTTCGTGTGGAAGTTGATGAGTACCCGATTACCCTACCTTTGATGCCTATGTGATCCCGTGATACATAGATTTTCACGTTATAATTGTTATCATACACAAGTTCTTCTTTTAATGGCTAGAAGAAATTTTGTGCGACTTAGTTCGCGAACTAGAACAAAATGTTCGCATGCATCCAGATTTCTGAGACCTTTACAGCAAAATTCTAAAGGTCGAAATGTAGAAGGGTGTCATCGACATATAGAGCAGAATCATTGTGAAAAAAAACCAAGCGTGAATCCTGTCAGTCCGTAGAGTATGGCAGGTGCAATTACATATTCATGTGATGTTAAATATTCAGAAAGATATGGGGGTTTCTGCACAAGTAACTCACAGAAAAATATTCTTCCTTCATGTAAGAAGTTACGTGATCCTGTGTTGCATTAAAAACAGGACTGAAGTTGGTCTGCAGCGTGGATTAATGGTGACATAAATTCAATTAAATTTATATGCTAATAAGCAGTAAAAATTAAACTCTCAAGCCCACTACGAGTTCAGTGCAGTTGCACACGCAAAACTGTTTACGAAAGAGAGAGGGTAACATTCACGCGGAGACATCTTTTCAAAACAGCTATGCTTCGCCAATGGGCTTTTGCACAGGCAGGTCATTCGAGCAACGTTATACACGCTGCGCGCGTCAGATTGTGCCATGTGGGTCAGACACCAACGGTTGTACAAATCATAGACCTGTAATTAAATCTTCCACGCATCAAGCAATTTGCCTATTCCGCACACACGTATTGCGTAATTTTAAGTATTGACTCAACAGGCTTTCGTTTCTTATTTAGAATTTTTTGGCATTAACTATTATGAGTGTTGCGTTTGCCAATAAGTGGGCAAAATTACATGGACTCACCAACGGTACGAGCCTATCCTCTTCATCTAAAGTGCATTGAACCGTCCAGAATAACTATGAGAAAAGTTTCACTAAGATCACTACGTCACTAATTTGGTCCGCTGAGGGACACAGATAATCGAAACAGAGTGACGACAATGTCATAAAATTACAATTCGCAACTCGGTTTTGGCGAACCAGAACGCAGCTTTACCTAACTTTAGGCAGTCTATAGCACAACGATGAAAGATTCTCGGTCCTAAGCTAGTTTCACTTAAAAAGGAAGTCTAAGACAAACATCACAGTAATCAAAGTTTAGTGGTATGAAAAGTGACACATGTGGTGAAGTCATTGTAGATTTAATGGTGCAACGTTACTAGATGATGGTTATTTTGATTTGACCATTAACTCCATGAGAACGATTAAACTGAACTAAATTTGTGGTAAGTCTAAAATGTGCTAGTTTCCCCACTAGGCACACTGGTTAAATGAAGAATTTAAGAGCTTGCGCCTCCTTTAAAAAGCCGAATACTTACGTCAGTCTTATTCGCTTTTCATGAATTCCCGCATTTCACTAGGTTAAATTTACGCATTTATTTGTTTTAAACATTAAGTGGCACAAATATCACGAGTTTATAAATGCACAAATACTAATGGTAAACGTTTTATTGGAGCCCCAGCAAATTTAGCAAACGCTTCGCGTCATTTTCATGTGCCTAAACAGCTGATCTCACTCAATCCATCGATTTTCGCTTGAACTTTATTGGTTAGGTTTTTAATGCACGCGCCCTTTATCTAATGGCAACATGCATCGAATTCCTCATCAGCAATTGGCTGAAATTTTTGAAACCAAGGTCGAACGAGCTAGGGTCGGCAGTAATTACAAGCATCCGTGCCCCGTTAGTACTACGGACGCTGATATTATAACGCTAAAAAATGCGTGAGTGCATCAGCATTCATATTGGTCAGGGCGGTTGTCAGATTGGTAATGCTTGTTGGGAACTTTTTTGTCTCGAGCACGGAATTCAGCCCGATGGACAGATGCCAAGTGACAAGACAATTGGAGGAGGCGACGATTCCTTCCAAACATTCTTCAGTGAAACCGGTGCAGGAAAACATGTCCCTCGAGCTATCTTCGTTGATCTTGAACCGACTGTAGTAGACGAAGTACGAACAGGTACCTACCGTCAACTGTTCCACCCCGATGAACTCATCACTGGCAAAGAAGATGCTGCAAATAACTATGCCCGCGGTCACTACACAGTCGGAAAGGAAATCGTTGACCTGGTTCTTGATCGTGCTCGAAAACTGGCTGATCAGTGTACAGGTCTCCAGGGATTCTTCGTGTTCCACTCATTTGGTGGAGGTACTGGTTCCGGATTCACATCACTGCTTATGGAACGCCTCAGCGTCGACTACGGTAA